GCCTGGCTGGCTGAGAGTTCCTGCCACCATGTGCCACAAGTGCCTCTGCCAGGCCAGACCAGAGCTCCTCATGAGCTAGAGGCCCATTTGGATCAAAAGCAGGAAGAAGTTTCCTGTGGTTTTCAAACAAACGCCAGCAACTGCTTTTTCCCTCTTGGGTGCCTTGTAAATTTTAGATTTCCTTGTTAATTTTCTACTAGAACAGAATCGTAACTAGCTTATTACTTCCAAATGACCTGTGCTGGCCCTTTCTGAATGACAACTTCTAATTATATTTTAGATGTAGAGTGACAGCTCTATCTTCTCTATTTTTTCAGTTACTTTGGAAAAGGGCATGTGAGTCTGGCCTTGCTGACGCAGAAAGTGGCGGAGACTGGGCACCCCCACATCCACTCCGTGTATCGGGCCAGGAACCGCTTTCAGAGTGCTTCAGCATCAGGTCCTTCAAAGCCCCCCTTCTCTAGAACCAGAGGGAGCTTGTGAGCAACACTGCCACAGCTGGGCTGCTGATGGTGCCCTAGGGTGACCTTTTTGGATGGACTCATTTTTTTGTGTGTGATTGTTCTTTTTAGTTATAAATCAAGTAGAATGTATCCTAGCAGATTATATATACATAGAGTATAACGTATGCTACTTAGGATCCCGCTCTTGCGGTGGTACATGATGTGGAGTTACCATGGTTATGCCTAGGAAACTTGTGACAGATTATTTCTACTGTATTTTCTATTCCCAAACCTCTTCCCTTCCCTTTGTTTCCCTTGTCTAATCCAGTGGATTTCTATCATTGCCTTTCCCAACCTCCCTTGTTTTGGGTTAGTTTCCACAAATTGGGCAGGACATTTGGCCTTTGATTTTTTGGGATTAGCTTATTTCACTTAGTATAATAGTCTTTAATCCCTCCATTAACCAGCAAATGACATAAGTTCATTCTTATTTATGGCTGAGTAATATTCCATTGTGTGTGTGTGTGTGTGTGTGTGTGTGTGTGTGTGTATCTCACATCTTTCTGAGGAGCAAGAGACGAGCCCGTTGAAAGACGTTTCTTTAGAAGGTGTTCGAAAGTTACATGGCGGAAAAACAAAGGGGGTGAGAAGGACAGGATGATAAAAAGAAGGAGCTCATATCTAGTGCTGGGTGCTCTCCTGAGTGATTTACCTGGAGTAGCTCATTTAATTCAGAGACAAATGTGTTCTAATTAAATAAAGAAACAGTAAGTGATTTATCAGTGGTCTTCAAGTTGGCAAATGGCCCAGGTGGCATCTGAAGCCCATTTGGTTAAGCCTGCGACCCTGTGGGAAGGTCTGCACCCTGGCTGCCCAGGTCTTAACAGTCACTACGCACCTCATCGTAAAGGCCTAAAGTTAGAAGGAATTGGGGAGCAGCTGGTCCAACTGCTTTACTGGACAGATAGGAAAGAGGCTCAGGGAGGAAGTAGGGGTAACTTGGTCAGGGAAATGTTTTTACCAGAGCTGAACTGAAACCAGTCCATGGGTTGCCTGCATCTTACTGAATGATTGTGGGAGAACTGGTTTTGGGATTCGCAGCTGTTGAACTTGAACTTGTTTTATCCAAAATTGATCACTCCCCTGCACTTAGCCTGATGCAGAACAGTATTGTTCTTCTGCTGCAGAACGAAATTTCTCAGATGGGCTCAACTAGCTTGTGTCTGAGAGATGCGCTCCAGGCCTCTGCTTCTGAGATCACAGGAAATTAGAAACTGGAACGCGAGACCACCTTTTATTATCAGGTGAAAAGAAGTCGCTGACTCAACCCGAGCCCACTGCAGAATCCTCTTTATGGGTTTTTTTTTTTTTTTAAACTCGTGGCAGTTGATAGCCTTGCTATTACCTTTTCCACAAAGCCCTTTCCTCCTGTGACATTACCTTCTCCTTTTTCCTTCCTTGGCTCTTTCTGGTTCTCTTCATTGTCCCTGAGATGTCTTTCGCTGCCTGTCCCTCACATTTCATTTTTCTGTGAATTCTGATTTCCCTCTCTGTTCTGCTCTGCCCATATGTCATTTTCTTTAAATGAATCAACCTCCCTTTCCAGACCACCATAAATGCTCTTTCCCCTTTCATCTGACAGCCTGACTAGGTCTCCAAAATTCTTTCAGACCCCTTTCAGGTGTGGGTGCAAACTGATAAAACTCATGTTGGATATCTGTATCTGGGGCCAAGGTGAGAAAGATGGGAAATTGGGCCAAGGAGAGTCACCCAGTATAAGGAAACCCAAGTAGAATAGGCCCGGCATGTTTGGGATTAGCAGAATTTAGGAATAAACTTGCTCTAGGTAAGGTGGGCAGACACTGATGAAGTGAAATTTGCTCATCGTGCTTAGCAGGAACCAATGGGCCTGATATTTAGCAGATGGATTCTGAGATCGCTATTTGATGGAAGGATTTGGAAAAGAGGTGAGTTCCCAGTGAGGCTGCCGACTATTTTATTTAAAAACCCGTAACTCTCTTCATGGCCTCTGGTGGACGGGCTTGTTAACAGGTCGGTCTCCTTTTCAAAGCTCATCAGCTGACACTTTCGTTCTGTAGTTTACCCTCAACACATGAAAGGAGTGGCCACCCAATTTTATCTCTTTTAAAAAATGACTTTCTGATGTTCTTGGATCATCCCAAAGCAACTGTGAAAGACACTGTGGGGACTCTAGTCCTCTTTAGCATTAGCTGACCCTTGGTGAGGCTCTACCATCAGGGTGACGCCCAGGTAACAGCTGTGATGAATATGAATAGCACCAGGTCACAGCCAGCTTGCTGGGTGGAGCCTGCCGCAGTTGGCTGAACTGATCAAGGAGCCCCCAGAAACCCAGAGAGTGGGTCTAAGGTCGTGCCTCCACAAAGTCCTTCAAATCCACCATTGAGGAAAGCTGCCAACTCCCTGAAATATGAATATTCTGCAAAACAATTAAACTTCATGGAGATCGAGATTGCTCTGCGGCAATGTTAAGTTCACCTGGAATGTGTCAATAGCAATGACAATGACATTGGTGAAGAAGACCAGCGGCTGGACCTCCTTCACGGGATTTTTTAGCTGGGTTTAACTTTCTGATTAGCACTGGCTTCTTTCCCACCTGGAGGTACTCCAGGTCAGCCCAAGTCTCCGTCTTTCTCTGCCTAGAAACTTGAGAATGGGCAGAGACAAGAACGATTGCTAGTGGTCACTTCAGAAAATCTAAACTTCGTCCATTACCTTTTTTGCTCCTTCCTTTGCTCCCCCTCTCCCCTTACTCACTGTTTCAAGCAAACTTGAACTTAGAGAACCCATTCCCCCTCCCCTTCCTCCTTCTTCTATCCCTCCCTTCCTTCCTTCCTTCCTTTCTCCCAGTTGTAAGTGCCCTAAATAATCAAATAACTTTACACAGTCTAAAACCACAAATCTAAAATCGCAGACATCAGAGGGCCCAAGGGACATCTCAGTTCACACTCTGATGTGGTGGCTGAGGACCCTGAATCCAGAAAGTAGGGGTGACGTCAAATCCAGGTCTCCTGAGAGTTCTCTTTCTATTCTGCCTAAGAAGAGACAAGAGGACCAGAAACTTATTTTGGAAGGATCTCTATCAAAACCCCCTTCAGAATTTTTTTTTTTCTCATGGTGAAGTTTCTTAAAACCAACAGGGAAGTCCCGATTGTCCTTCGGGTACTCACCAACGAACAGCTGGCTGTAGAGCTCCAGGCGGGTGTGGCCTTCCGTCGGGGCCTTGCGGATCTGCTGGGGCAGCCGGTCCACCTGGAGACTGGCTTGCTTGACGTTCCTCTCTGCAGTGACCCGGTGCCACTGGTCATCGTTGAGAGGGGAGGGCGACCTCACTACAATCTCCACTGGCCCATTTCCAACATCGAATGAGAAGGACACCTCTGTGGCAGCTGCAGGAGCAGAAAGTGTGGAAGCCCCGTGAGTATATTCTCCCAGCTACCAAGCAGCAGAGGTTCTTCAGAGAGCAAAGCAGGGAGACAAAAATCATCTCCTCTGGGCACTGGCTACAAAGTGAATCCCACCACCGTGTGTACCCATCATGCACATCCACAGCAGAATCATTTGAGGGAGGTAAGCGTCGATGCATTGCTAACGGGGAGGAAATCAATTCCTTTGGGGGGACCTCTATGTGCCACGCAGACGCTTGTTTCCCTACTCAACCTTCAGGAGCTTTCTAAGAAGTTACCACCAGTGACTCTTTCCAGTTAAAGAACCTGAGGCCTGGAGAATGGAGTTGGTGACACCAAGACTCAGACATTGAGTGACTTAGATTAGTGACTTAGTCAGGACCTGAGCCCAGGTTTGTCAGAATTTGGAGCTTGAGACCCTTTGATTCTTTTTACAACTGACCTCTTCCACAGCTCTGAGGGCATCCCTTTGCAGGTACCTGAAGAGTTTTTTGGAACCCCTGGGTCCAGACAGTCCAACTCAGTTGGTTTGGAATAGACACCAGCATTTCCAAAAAGCTCCCTGGAGGATGTTCAAAGGGAGCTAGAGTGCAGAACTACCTCTTTGGGGGAATTTACAAAAGTTTATTTTATCCATCTTTGAAAGCCATGGATGTATGAATTACCAAGCAACGAAGATGACCTGCGCCCCGTGGGGACCAGCCGTGGCTGTCCCAGAGGCTGCACAGCATTCCTGCAGCACGGAGCCTTGCTGCTTCCTGCTTTGCAGACCTTGGCTGGTTTCCATCTGGGATGCTGGATCCTTCCCGTGACCTGCCCTCCAGCACTGACCACAAAGTTCTTTCTTCCAAAGATGTACAAGCCAACCTGCCTCTGCAGTAAATCACCTCCTAGCAAGAGCTGGATGGATTTGGTGGTTGCTTTGTCAACTTTAATTAAAACAGCTTCTTTATTTCACACTTTAAGTTTGGTGTGATGTTCCTCAGTGACCACCGAGTGCTTTATAAACAGGTTTTCAAAGTTTATATTTTTCTGGGGGTTGGCAGGAGGGGCAGCTTCCTGCTGGAGCAGGAGACACATCCCGGACCGCTCAAGGCTCTGTGAATTCATATCAACTTTAAAGATGTGGCACACCAGCCAATTTCCTGACTTCGCTTATAAAGATATCCAGCCCTCTCTCCATCAATAAGCCTTTGCCTAATCTCTAAGTGGTTTAATTAAATATCTGTCATTTTTTTTTTTCCACGGCTAATGGAAAATTCAGTTTCTTTGGGCTGGTACCATTTTGAGATGGTGTCGCAAGCAATCAAACTTCTAATTTAAAAACCACAGTGGGCCGGATTCTCTCAGGACCTGGGCTGTTCCCGGCCTCTGTGCCGGGCCTCTCTGAAAGTTGCATTAACTTTATTGAGCTACAGGCATATTCGACACAGGACTCAATTTAATCAACCTAATTGTACCCAGGAATTTTGATCCTTCATGTCATTAGAAAGAGAACTTTAGTTTTAAGACTTTGTGGTGACTCCATATACACTCCAGTGAAACATCTCATCCAAATTAGGGGCCCCTGCCCTCAGGGGGTCACTGGGACAGGATTTAATGTGCAGGCCAGGGACCTCCATGGTGGGGTCTGTGGAACTATGAACAGGACTCAGGGAGTCGGCAGAGTGACCCACAGACTGAGTGATCATTCTGCAGAGATTTGCCACGATCCAGGGGAAAAAAAGCTTGGCTTTAGGATGGAATCTCTTCTGTTCCCACGGCGCTGTATCTCTGCAGATGCATTTAAAAACGCAAGCGGTCAGGACAGCAGGAGAGGGAGGCTTCCTGAGCCGCGTGGGGAAGACGGCTTCATTTGAAAGGCATCAACCATCACCAGGGACGTAGCATTTAGGGATAAATTGAGCTCAACCCCAAGGTTTGACTTGAGGAGATAAATGCTGGCCTCATTTCCTCTGCTACTGTCCCTTTGCTATGATGAATCTTTGTCCAGTTGCTTTCAAGTGTCACCATCTGGAGAGATTCTGAGCGCCAGAGGTGATTAGAGAACAGCCACACTTTTCTCGGTTGGGCACGATGGATCCCTATTTCTTCACCTTGACCGTGGTCTCCTTAATAGCCATACATATTTCTTGGGCCTCCGTCCCCCACAGGGTGCCGTAAGAGGGACTCAAGGCCGAGGGCCACCAGGAGCAACGACCTCCACCCAGTGAGCCTCCAACAGGCTCCGCTCAAGAGGTATTCAGTCCCTCCGCCCTTCGCTGCCTCCTGGGGAAGGGGCTCAGATCAGGGGGAGAGAGAAGGGAGGGGCTCCCCCTCTCTGTCGCTCAATGTCAGCTTCCCTGACAGGGCTGAGGGATGCCTTAGAGAAATCCCATCTCGCTGGCAGACAGCCAGGGTGTTTTAAAAGCTTCTAAAGTTCAGTTTGTGGCTGATTGCTCTTGGTCTTCTGGGTGAGAGCGACTGACATTTTAAAAGAGATAATTACAGAGAGAGTCAGTGAGCGAATAAAGGGAGGCAGCTGGGGAGACACAGATCCAATGACACTCTCCTCTCTTGACGTGTCCCCACTTGGAGACCAAAGCACTGCCCTGTTTCTGCCCGTAGGAAGGAACTTCTTAAACACTGAAGATATTCTCATTTCCAGAAATAAGCATTTGAGAAGTGGGTGTCTAGAGCATGGCTCCTTGGAATCGACACTGAGGCAGGCGCGAATTGTTGCCTTTCCAGTAGTGTCAAGAACGGGGATGGGTCCAACTTTACCCTACTTTCATGCTAACGCGTTAGCTGGTCAGTTTTTCATGATGCTGGCAGAAGACATGAGCCACCTGAGTCAAAGACAAGGGACCTTTACACTCACAACATAGCAGGTTTCGTGTTTGTATTGGTTTCCTTTGTCCCTGTCCCCCAAGTCCCATGGGGGTGACATGGGACAGCATGGGTTGATGCTGCACATTGAAGAAGGTGAGCTTTGTAGCTGAGGAACCCTGAGCTTAGAAAACCCCAGTCTTAAAGGAGCGACTAGCAAATCTGCCCAATTTTTGCGCTGGGGACACTGTCTTTATTTTCCTGGCCAGGAAAAAAAATGGCCCCTCTGCCTGGGAGGAGGTCACTGTCTGTCTTCTGAGGATGTGGTCATACACATGTCCTTAGAGAGGCAAGGATAAAGTTTCTAATGCTTGATGCTCAGAGGACAAAAAGAAATGGAAGAGCCACGGAGAACATCCCATGCTCAGACCATTTCCCTTGTGAGTGACTGAAACTTGCTTGGGAATTTCAGAGTTTTCAG